TAAAACAAGATTTTTGAACCCAGGCATTCTGATTGCAGAGCCCAGACGCTTGGCCAGGGGTTGAAAGTGGAAACAAAGCTGATGCTGAGTATGGGGCTCAGACTGCGGGATCGACTTTCCCTCTGGAGACCCAGGTGGTGAGAGTCTCTGCGGATGCTGAGCCAGAGCAGGGAGAGTGTAGACAGTTGCTGAATTTAAAAGCCAATGAATTCCCCAACTGACCTAAGTCATTCCTCTTTCTGGCTTTGTGGTATTTGCCAGTGCTTCTCCAACTACTTCAAGAGCTGTTGTGAAATTCTCAACGTAATCTCCAAAGAAAATCAATTTAAAAACACATATTTCTTACTGTGAATTATTCATGAGCATTAATGTTCTTAAGTATATATGAATTTGAATTAGTTTCATTTGGATATTTTTAAACATTTCAGAGGTACACATACACAGTTACTCATTCAATAGTTGTTGAAGACCTACTCTATGATAGGGAACATGTTGGATATATATCTTTAGACTAACAGATGGCCTGGTAAATAATAATAATATTCCCTGAGTGTTTGCTACATGCAAGATACTATGCTACACATTGTACACATATTAACTCGTGTATTTAAAAGATGAAGAAACTGAGTAAATTGTCTGCTACAGCCCAAACTGTTCATCATCAGAGCAGATGCTATTAATCCCGATGGTTCACATAGATTCTAAGTACATATTTATTGAATGGATAAACCAAACAATAGAAGTACAAAATGATGATGATGATGATGATGATGATGATGATAATGATGATGCCTAATATTTTGTGTTAGACTGTATCATTCTCCCTTCATGCATGTTGTCATTTAGAAATAATGTAGGCAAAGGAGCTTAGTTTCTGCTAAAGGAGGTAAGATATGAACACCAATATCAAATACATAATCATTTGAAAATATGATTTAAAATATAAAATTCTAAGTGTTACAGGGGGGATTTAAAGAGGAGAGATTCTTTCTACAAGGAGGGATAGAGACGGTCCGTGGATGGGCGGGACCAGGTGAGCCTTGGGGCATTTATGAGCACAGAATTGGGAGTCAGAGGAGGAGAGCAGACAGGGAAGGTTCCCAGCAGAGAGCTCCCTGTAAGAAAAGCACAGAAGGAAGAGAACACAGAGCCTGTATGGAAAACATGAATAGTTTCCTTTAGCTACAATGTTGTGGCTCTATACCACCTGGTGACTTTTTCTGCTGTCTTGTCTTTACTCTTCTATCAGTTAAGCCTACATTCAGCTGCAAGTACAAGGGGAACCCAAATATAGTGACTTAAACATAGGGTTTATTTTCCTCACATGCCAGGAATTCTGATAAATGGGTGGCTGTTGGCATTGGTGTAAACGAGTAGCTTCCCAACGTTGGGGATCTACTTTTTGAATCTCTTGGCCTTTCTTCATGGTTGTGAGCTAGCTGTCCAGCCTGAATTTAAGGCAGAAATCGAAGCAGAAGGGAACTGAGCCACGCTGAGTGGGTCTCTTCCTTTAATCGTGAAAGTAAAAGCATTCCCAGAATCCCCCAGCAGACGCTGCTCATGTCTCACTGGCCACTCACAGCTGTAATGGAGGCTGTGTAGCAGGGTATTTCCTTGTACATTCTATAGTATGAGAGGAAAAGAGAAGAGAGTGGAAATGGAAGTTATTTCAGATAACAAGCAGTGATCATCAGACACTAATAATGCTGATAATAATTCCCCTTTACCTGGGTGTTTCTTATGTGTCCATCTCAAGCTAATCACTTCACCTACATTTCTCTCATTTAACTTTGTGTCTGTTACAGCAGATCTGGGGGAGAGCCACTGTCACCCCATTTTACTGAGATGCGCTTAGGTTCAGTCATTTGCCAAGGTCAAGCAGCTGACAAGGGGCAGAAATGCAGAACTTCTAGCCCAGGTCTTAGCCTGGATGTTCTTATGCACCCCTGGGTGATGACCACTAACTGTGACTCACTTTCTGCCTTTGTTGTTTCTGTTGATTCTCACAAAAGTCTATGAGTGGTTAGTAATTTACCATTTGACAGGTGAAGAAACTGCATCTCAGTGAGTTCATGACTGGCCCAAGGTCACATGCCTGAGCTGAGATTCAAAACCCAGACGGCCTCATTCTGAAGTCCAGATCCTCTACACTGTGCCGAGATTCCACAGGGAAAAGAACTCCAGTTTATCCCATCCAAAATGCCCACCATCTTCCCCTCCTCTCCAGTCCGTAGCCACATCCCTGGCTCAGGCCCTCAACACCTTGTAGATGGACTATTGTAAGAGTTTACTCAGAGGTCTTCACACCTGTACCTTCTCCTACCAGATTTATCTTCTCTGAACGTGAGTCATGTCATGGGGCCCACCACGACACAACCAAGGGAGTTCCATTTTCTTAACCAAATCTGCCTTTCGCCCACTTTTCTACCCAGCCTCCCATTGATGGTTATCCTTTGCTTTGGACTCATCCCCAGCTGCTCACTGCATGAAGGCTAGTCTGGCCAAAGCACAAATTCAGCCCTTCCATACGCTCGATCCAGTGGGATCTTGGAGGTGAGAAGGGATCCTAGTTACAGGTGCGCAGACAAGACGCTCAAAGTGGAAACACAGCAGAAGTAACGCATGAGGGTGGAAGGAGGAGGGCTTTAGCCAGACTTCCCTCTGGTCAGCGTGGCTGCAGGAAGGAATACTGTGGTGGAAAATCACAGTGGAGAGTTCTGCCAGTTTGTGTTCAAATTACTAACTGGGAGACGGAAAAAAAAAACAATGTTCGACCTTCTATCAGCATGTACCGATCTCAAAAGTGATTCTCTGGGTTCTGATCATTGTCTAATGAGTCTGACTAATTCTCCCAGAAAAACATCCTTCTAATTAGGATCTTACTAATAAAGTTGGCCGGCTGGAGTTAGGAGAGTCGGCCCTGTTTTCCTAGTCCCTCCCAATGAGAGAAGGAATCCGGTGTGGGCACAATGGAAACTCTTTAGCATTGGAACAGACATGGGTTTGAACCCTGTCTGTGTGTGGCCTTGGGCACGTAAGTCACTGTACCTCTCCTCAAGGTCCTCATCTGTCAATAGCAGATAACGGAGCCTATCTCTCAGTGTTGTCACAAGGCCTTGAGAAGTCCAAGGGCGGATTGTGGAAAGATCAGTGTGCAAGCACGCCCAACCCTCATCACTCCAAAGACACATGGTTTTGTTGAGGAAATTGCTCAAGACGAGACTCTGCCAACCTGAAAAATCATCAGGGCAGGAGTTACAATCAGTCTGCAAAGGCAGTTAAAAGATGCAATTTGTTTCATCTGGCTTCCTTTTATGTCTAAACAGAGAGGGAACTTACTAAACCACACTCACGATGAGGAAGCCAAACTACTTGTGCACAGCAGAATGGGATGCAAGGGTGACAGTGGGGCCAGGACTATGCCACACAGCCCTGTGCCAGCCCTAGACTGCTGAGTGCAAGCGGCCCGGTTCTGGATGTAGCCCCGCTGTTAACTAGTCCTGTGACCTTGTACACGTCATGGCAAGCTCTGCCTCCTGCACGGCATCTATCCATGGACATGAAAAAAACAGACAACGGCTATGAGAATGAAAATGTGAAAATAGTTTTAAAATTACATTCCATTTAAATTATTTTGTCACAAAATCACTTTAAAATGTGAAGCAGATTATTGATGCTGTTATGTTGGTCCTTCATACAATAGCCAAAGTCATCAAAAGGCCCTTCATAAATATTTCTGTCCCCAGGAACTAACATTCTAGTGGGAGAGACTGACGTGTGCATAAATCACTCTAATACAAGGTAAATAGTGGTAAGTACTGCAGGAAAGGAACAAGCCAAAGGCCCTGGGGACGTGGGAGTTGGGAGATTAATTTCTAATAGGGGAATCTAGAAAGGTTTCATGAAGGAGATAGGATTCGGGTTGAGCCTTGAAAGCTTGGGAGAGCTGTGATTTATACTCTCTTGTCTTGGGGCCCCGGAGCACAGGGAGCTTCCCCCTCCCCGTTAACTTTGAGCTCCTGGAGGGGAAGGGCATGGACTTCATCTCATCGCCAGCTCCCCAGCAGAGGCCTGGCACCAGTTGGTGCTCCATAAAGGTTGAGTCCAATTAATAACGATGATAGAAGGAGGATTCATACTCATAATATTAGTAGCATGTATTCTCTATCGAGTTCATGTTATGTTTCAGGTTACTTAAAGCATCATGGAGAGAGCATCAACCCTGGGTCCCTGGAGCGTGCTGCGGGTGCGACGGGGGCAGGTACGCAGCAGCCCGCACCTCCTCCCAGTCCCAGGCCGGCCTTCACCCTCGCAGGCCAGGTGCTGAGTGCCCCGCGGGCGCCGGGGGTCTATGTTCTGGCAGCTGGCAGGGTCCCCGCTGAAGTCTGAGGGGTTACGGACAGGCTTTCCCATCGCCAGGACCAGCGGCCAGTGAGGAAGCCGGGCCCTGGGAGGGGGTCGCCTCGCAAGGTCGCCCCACTTGGCCTTGGCCACACTGTGCTCCCTGCCCTGGAGCAGGTGCGCTGGCGCTTGTCCGCAACCTTTCTCGGGCCCAGGCAGGACTGGCTGGGGAGCTCCTTTTGCCTCGGGGCTAGCACAGTGGACTGCAGGCTGCCCTCATTCCGTGATGTCACAGTGCTGCGGGTCTGCACGTCTGTGACGTCAGGGGCCTCCAGAGGGTGGGCTGTGAAGTCACAGCAGGCCCTGCCCACACCTTGGAGCAGAAGGTGGTTCCAGAGGGAGAGAAAGGAAGTTCAGTCCCCTGGCGCCAGGAATCGCGGTGAATTTGAATCGAAAGTGTTCGAAATTCGCATTTTACAGTTTTAATCTTTCAGAAGAGATCAGACGGGAAGAGAAGCTGGTCACTTCCATGACTGACTCCGTCCAGCAGAAAGGTCGGATAGGAGTCCATCCTTCCTCACTGGCCTTGACACGCCTGGGCTGTGTACCTAGAACCACATTGGAAACTGCAGAAGAAAGCGCAGCCTCTGGAAACCAGCATGGACATTCCGAGAACTCCCATGAGCCACCGGGAGGCCATCAATGACAGAAAATGCAAAGCTAGTTACATAAAACCAAGCGTCTTTCCTTCCCCCTCTCCTGGGAAAGCATCCTCGCGAAAGCCTTTCGGGGTCCTTTCTCCAAATGTTCTGTGCGGTGTGAGTAGGAAGAGTCCTGGAAAGAGCAGCTTGAACGTTAAAACCACAAAGAATGTACCATCTGCCACAATCCCCCAGGGCAAAGAAGGCGAAGGGCCACGGGATGTCTGCGCTGTAGTGAAACCGGGAAATACCAAGGAGAAAATCGCCTTCTTTGCAGCCCACCAGTGTGGCAGTAGGATAGGATCTATGACAGTAAAAAGCTCCTGGGATATTTTTTGGAGAACTACTAAAAGAGAGGAAAAACCAGGGGATCTTAAAGAAGCCAAGATGCAGTCAGAAAGGATGAGGGGAGTCACCAGCAGGGGCTATGAGCCCGAGCCTTTTGCGCCTGGCGTGGAGCGCTGCTCTGTGTGTTACATGCGTGACACCGGGGACGGCGTCTGTGCTGGGAGGCCCCTGTCGGTCACACAGATGGTTGCCGTCCTGGAGCAAAGAGGCGGTGCTCCTCTGCTAGCCAGCTGTGCAAAAACCTGCACCAACACACCTGCCCTGGTGAGGATTTCGGGGCAATCCAGAGCTGTGCCCCCAGCCCCTGAGCCCCTTTCTGCCCCGGGAGCTTGTGACGAACCCACGGAAAGGGGAAATCCTGAGGTTGGTGAACCCCAGAGTGAGCCAGTCCGGGTCCTCGACATGGTAGCCCGGCTGGAGTCTGGGAGCCTCTGGAGGAAGAACAGCTTCCCTCCAAGTGTAGGCCGGGTGTTGCCTGCAAACTGCACGCAGGCTGATAAAGGCAGAACAAACCAAGGCGCCGTGGAGGCACCTGACACTCAGGTGAATCCTATGGGGTCTGTACCTGTGGACTGTGGCCGGTCCAGTGCTGACCACTGTTCTATTGCGGGGAAGCAGGCCCGGGATGGGGCTCCTCGGGGCTGTCCCTCACTGCCAGCAGCTGCGAGTTTCCAAGTGGGTAATGCAACATTCCAGCCAGATCAGCAAAGTGCTGTGAAAAACAGCAATAGGTATGATGTAGAAATGACCAAGGAACTTGAGTCACCTTTTCCTCCAACTCAAGCCATAGAGTTGCCCACAGATGCTGTTGATGATATGAGTAGAGGGTTTGTGCCACGAGCTCCTGATCAGAGAAGAAAAGAATCTGTGTGCATGAGCATCACTGTGTCCAAGGTGGAGAGAGACCTGCCTTGTAGCATAAAGGCCTCACTGCCAGGGAGGTTATTTTTTCATTTGCCACCGGGTCAGCACCAGTCGGACTGTTCCCCGCAGAGTGAAAGCACAACACAAGAGTCTTCGGGGGCCAGTCAGCTTGAAGATGCTGCCGAAGGTGGCAGCGCACCAGCCGATCAGGGTGTTTCGGCGGGTGCATTTGTCCCCGCGCCAGCCTGTCCCGGGGAAAGGAGCATACCGGCACTCGGGGCATCTGGTTGGAAGAAGCAGGTGTCCCATGACTTTCTGGAGACCAGGTTTAAAATCCAGCAGCTTTTGGAGCCTAAGCAGTACATGGCTTTCCTGCCCCACCACATTATGGTACAAATCTTCAGGTGTCTTCCCACCAAGAGTCTAGTGGCTCTTAAATGTACCTGCTGCTATTTCAAGTTCATCATTGAACACTACAACATCAGGCCAGCAGATTCTCGCTGGGTTCGAGATCCCCGCTATAGAGAGGATCCTTGTAAGCAGTGCAAGAAAAAGTATGTGAAAGGGGATGTGTCCCTGTGCCGCTGGCACCCCAAGCCCTATTGCCAGGCATCGCCTTACGGGCCAGGATACTGGATGTGCTGCTACCGCTCCCAGAAGGGCTTCCCTGGCTGCAGGCTGGGGCTTCATGACAATCGCTGGGCCCCTGCTTGCCTGGGCGATTAATCGGGCAATCCATGAGAAAGCAAAAGGGGCTGACACTAACGTCTGTGTGAGAGGCAACACGGTGACTGGTTTTCTAAAACTGCAAACCACCACCTCGACACGCCGTTCAGGTGAGCGTTGCGTCTCAGAGCCATGGCTCACCCTGGTGGAATCTGCACCCGTTCCCTCAGGACGGCTGCTGCGTGGGCGTTTTTGTTCTGTACAAGCTGCACAGGAAGACTGGTCTCATTGTTTGATGGTGGCGCCTCCAGGGTGGTAGCCCACAGTTTGATTCACTTGGCTGTGAATAATTATGCGTGTTTTTCTAAATTAGATCCATCCTCAGAGGATGAAGACTTGCCACCATCAAGGACAGTCAGAAAAGTTCACTTTGGGCTGTGCAGGCAATCCCCAAAGAGGGGTTCCAGGAATGTTGGAGCACTGGCACCAGAGTGGAAGTCAGTCGTATTGTCCTATGGGGAGCACAGCAGCAGACTTGGATGGGAAGTATGCTCAGGAGGAAAAGTCAGGCACCTTACCTTAGACCTTGTACGCTTGGTCCTGTGAGACCGATGCCTAAGGGTGGAAATGGATTCTGTGCCCCGTGGTGTTTGCAGTGTACATAAAGGTTGTCTCACAGGACTGTGAAGGTGCATGTTAAACCCGAGCCTTTACCTTAGATGAATGCTCTTGGCCCCTCTGTAAACAACACTGTTAAAATCCAGTTGTGGATAATGAACAGCTGGCTGAACAACATTATCACAACAGAGCAGCTAAGAGAGTGTTGTAGGTACAATTGTGTGAGTTTTGTATTGTCTCACATTTGTATATCCTGTATACAATGTAAATGTTTCCCAAATAAACTATGAATGTTTCCTGTATAATATGTGGATGTTTCTAATGAGAAACTCTAAATAGTTAAGAGGTTAACCTGCTGAAAAGATACCAAATAATGGTTTAACTGGACAACCTTAAAATTAATATAGAGAACAATTCTTCATTATATTTCAGTGATCCAAGAATGAGAAATGATACAGTCAGATTATAACATTGTCTATTCTGTCTAGTTATATATTTTTTTTAATTTTAGTAAAAGCATGCATCTTAAAAAAAAAAAAAAAAAGACGTCATCTCATCTGACCAAGCAAACCCTGAACAAGGGCTCTTCTCAAGCCCCATCCCCTACCTCCTGTTTGATAAATGAGGGAACCGAGGCCCAGGGGAGCCTGCCTGCACCACACTAGTAAGCAGTGTGACTGGATTCACTCTCAGCTCACTCGAGTCCTAAACTCATGACCGCGACTTAACAGCCAGATCGTGAGAACAAGTCTGAGTACAGTGGATTTTATAACATTTCTGGGGGGGAAAGCTTTGAATCTAACATAGATATGTTTGTCAGGGCTTTCCAGAGACACAGAACTAATATGTCACACGTCTATGCTGAATCTTCAACAGAATTCCTTCTTCTCTAGAAAACCTCAGTCTTTGCTCTTTAGGCCTTCAACTGATGAGACGGGGCCCACCACATTATGGAGGTTAATCTGCGTTACCCAACGTCTACTGATTGTAAATGTTAATCGCATCCACAGATATCTTCACAGCAACATCTAGACTAGTGTTTGACTGACAACAGGGCAACCTAGCCTAGCCAAGTCGATACATAAATTAACCAGCACAGACACAGGGACCCCAGGAAGGTTTTTAATTTAGGCCACTGTACCTCTATTCCCACCCTACTGTGTTGTTTTTAATTAGAACTTCTTAAATACATGAGAACAAAAAAAGAGTTTGAAATTCTGTGTACTTTTTAAGGAAAAAACATACTTTTCTCATAAAATGAAGATTATTTGATAAAAATTCATACACAGATAAAATAAATAAAGGGAATAGGAAACGCCAAGGTTTGACTTACATATCAAAATATTTGATGCATGTTTAATTTTAGATTTTGCTTCCTGGGGAAGAGGATTTGACTTCTGGCATGTATGTGCTGACCAATTTTAAATAGACTTCTACAAGGTCAGCGCTGGGAGATCTTGGGTATCGTTTTGTGGAACCCCATGAGCTACCATTGGGAAAATGAGGGCCCAGATTGGACACTCTGACAGTACAGCTCGTCACCTCAAGCAAGTGGTAGAACCAGGACTCCTGCCCAGTCTCTGGTGGGGCTTCATTCATCAGCCTCATTATCCAATTTTATTATCAGCAGAGGAAAGAAAAATAAACACACACAAAGCCCACATTCTACACCAGAGGCTGCATGCGCCCTACGCAGGCCAGCTGTGAGCCAGATGTCGGCCCTCCCCAAAGGGCTGCAAGGGGTTCCCTGGCTCTCAGTGAGCAGATGAGGGAGAAGACGAGGATTTCAGGTTGGGGGGAGCCCAATTCCCCTTGGGGACAGGAGGAGCTGCTGAATACAGTCAGTGCCACCTGGAGTGGGAGAGACCACGTGTCGAGCGGAACATCGGGCAGCCCACGAGGGGTAGGACAGTGATGCTGTGAGGCTGGAGTTCTGAGTTTCAGAACAGCTCCGCCTTCTGTTAGCTGTGAGGGTGCTTTTCTGGGTCTCAGCCTTCTCCATAAAACCAGGGAAATAAAATGGCCTAACTAAAGGAAGGCAGATAAATCAGAAGATCCGAGTTTGAATCCTGCCTTTGCCACTTACACATGATTTGTCTTCCGGCAATTCACTGAGCGTCTCAAACCTCAGCTCACAGGAGAGGCCTGATTCCTGGTGAGGATTTAAGGGAAGTAACTCATGGGACATGCCAGCGACAATGTCTGTCCCCCAGAGTAGGTGCTCAGTTCCTCCCCGAACTCTCCCTTTCCCTCGCCAAATTCAAATTCCTGGGACCTCTGCTTTCCCAAGGCCTCGGATCACCTTGAGACCCGTGCACGAACCCACTTCACGCCTCCGCGCTCATCAGTCATTCTGCAGCTATTTGTTAAGGGACTCACTGGGCTTGTCCCTGCCTTCAGGAGCCTGCACGCCACAGCCTCGGCCATGACCCGCAGACGGGCTGTGCTCTGGAGAGGACATTTCTAGCTGCACCTCGACTGCACCGATGCCGCTGCTCCAGGCCCAGCCCCAGGCTGGGGGAGCTCCTGGTGGGCCTGGTGGGCGGGGCGGAGCGGGCCTGAGGGCGGGGCCTGACAGCTGGTGCTGCTCAAGTACTGCTGACATCCGCCCACCCACGCTGGGAAACTAGGTGTGGCTGCTTGTGTCTCTCTCCCAGCTAGTAACAGGGGCCCACTCCTTTACATCTGTTGAGAAACCCGGGAGGTGAGGTTTCGTAAGATCTTTGTTACTGTCAGGCACAATGTCAGTGGTCCCCGGGAGGCCCCAGCGATGCCTGGAATCCATCGCCCACGGGTCTCTGTGGGGCAGGCACGGCGCCTGCGCTCCATGCTTGCCCTGGAAGCCGGGGCAGGAGACACAGCTTCCCCCAGCAGGCCCCGTGGGTGCCGCGCGAAGGGGTTGATTGCCATCCGGTGCCTGTAGCCTGGCTGCCCTGACACTGCGCTGAGTCCCACTCAAATCCGAGCTCAGCCGAGACACTTGTTTGCTCGAGGAAGGTGGGAGATTACATCAACACATAACGTGTGAGCTGGGAGGGAGCTGAGAATTCATCTAAACCAACCTCCCACGGTGGGAGCCTCTGGAAATGTCGACTGCTCAGGCCCCAAGTCCCTGCCCCATCCCAGGCTGGCAGCCAGCTCCTTTCCTTCCGCCCTCACAGCTCCAGAGCTTCGGTTACATCCTGCTCTCTTTAGCACTACCCCCGCCCCCGTCAGTCCATCCCTGAGGGTCCTCCTGGCCCACAGAAACAACAGGCCCTGCACCTCCACGCTGGCAGCTCCACGGGTAGAGAAACAACAAAGCCCTCCCAGTTGCCCTGCCTGGGACTCGGGTAACAAGCAACCAGTGGGAGAAGGTACCCAGCATCCTTGGGGAAGAGTGGTCTTACCGCCCCTCGTCTGTGGTTCTCTGTGTCCTCTCTGCAAGATTCTTGTTTCAGAAGATTAAAGGCATCGAAACTTCTCTCACCCTGGGGACTTCAGATGACCCCCTTTCCAGGACTAACTAGGTTGGAGGATGCAACCCTGGCCAGACAACTGTGGGATTTTTAAGTAATAATGGTTTCACTAGTTACAAAGCTCATTTTGCTGTGTGTGTGTGTGTGTGTGTGTGTGTGTGTGTGTGATAGTGTAGACTTGACTAGAAAAGGGGTGCAAATGGCAACAACAACAATAAAAACAAGCCACATATCTTGGCTACCAGACCCCCACTGTACCTCAGAAACCCTGACCTCCACCTGCCTCCTGGTGGCTGCGTCCCCTAGTACGAGTCACATACATGTCTGCCCTTCATTGTCTCCTGTAAAACACAACTCACACTGCCTTTTTCTTCCTGCTCCAACAGAATGTAGAGTATTTGATTCTGTGCACCTGGAAGGGGTGGCTATCTAGAGCAGCACTTATTAAAGGGTAGGGACAATGCAAGACGTAGTGTTCTCTAACCCAGTAAGTTTAGGAAATGCTGGGTTAAAGGAGTTCCTTATTGCAGGACTTCTCTGTGCCTTTAATCAGCTAATATGCCTTAGCAATCTCCAAGTCTGGGTGTAGTATGCTATGCTTGCCAAGGACAGTTGACCACTGAACTTACAATTTGGAGACCACACCAGAAGCCCAGTGTTCAGCTTTGCAAAGCACTCTGCAGACATGCTTCAAACTGCTCCCATGTCCCAAAGAATGAGACTCACCTGGCCCACTGTCTGCCCTGGAGGCAAAAGAGGCAGTGTAGTAGCATCAAGGATGGCTTTGAAGAGCAATTCCTCCTGGCAGCAAGAGGCAAAGAGGGCAGGTACCAAGCTTAAGAACCTGGAGCTACACTGCAATAGCATTAAATGAAGGTGCTGTTGGGAGGGCCAGTGTACCCCAAATAATTGCAGGAGATTTGAGGTGGCACAGCACACCCAGGGCAGTGGAGGAGCAGTGGATGCCAAATGGCTGTGTGTGTG